GGAGGAAGAGAGAGAAAGGGAGGGGGAGGAAGAAAGAGGTAGAGAGAGAGAGGAAGAGAAGAGAGAGAGAGAGAGAGGAAGAGAAGAGAGAGAGAGAGAGAGGAAGAGAAGAGAGAGTGGGGGGGGGGGGGGAAGAAAGAGGTAGAGAGAGAGAATGAAGGAGAGAGAGAGAGAGATGGGGGCAGTAGAGAAAGACAGAGCGCGACAGGGCTAAGTCAAGTTGTCTGAGTAGAGATTAGGATAAAGAGGGGATAAGTCAAGGGGGCTGAGAGTATCCCCTGAGGGGAGATTAGTAGAGTACCTCTCCTTCTTCCATGACACTAAGAAGAGAGAAGAAAAGAGAAGAGAAAGAGGTGGAGCGAGAGGGGAATGAAGAGAGGGGAGAGAGAAAGAAAGAAAGAGAGAGAGATAGCATTAGAGAGAGAGAGATAGCGTTAGAGAATGACCGGAGAGAGAGGAAAGAGAGAGAGAGCGCGACAGGGCTAAGTCAAGTTGTCTGAGTAGAGATTAGGATAAAGAGGGGATAAGTCAAGGGGACTGAGATTATCCCCTGAGGGGAGATTAGTAGAGTACCTCTCCTTCTTCCATGGCACCAAGAAACCTTGCTAGGCCCTTCCTTAACTCAGCCACTGCTAGAACTCAGAAGGTGGCATACGATTGCCATGTAAACTTGACTGTCCAAGACTCTATCAGTTAAGCGAAGACACAAGGAATGGTCAGGATATCCAGGGGTTATTTTAGGTGATACTCATCAATAATTAGCATCTATTGTTTATCAATACCAAGAGTTCTTTTCTGCAATGAATTGTGCAAGTTCCTTTTTGAAGAATATAGAATAGTTGAGAGGAAAAGTGACTGTGGGAATGAGGCCTAGCTAATTTTGTCTCAAGTGTAGGGATGTATAGAAAAGGAATGTCATGATTTCTCTCTTCTATGAATAGTTTGAAATGATAGCAGGTACTGTTTAACCATTGAGGATGTAATATATTACCCATTAAAAGTGTTTGGAGTTTCAACCTTGCACATGTGATTTTAGCACCCCCCCCCCCCCCAATCTTCAAGATGCATAGAGAAAAATCAGATGCCCAAAAGTCTTGAAACTGTTGGTGTTTCAAGATACTGAACAGTCATCAGGTTTTTGGCTGAATCTTTCCAATAATATAATTTGAATTAGTTTTAAAGGTTTAATGATTTTGAAGGTTTATATGTATGATTTGTCTAATTTCATTTTTACCATAACAGTTGTACTAAAATATTAACCCTTACTTGTAGGAAATTTAATGAAATGGAATTGAGTTCATTTCAACTCCAGAAATTTTCCTCTATAATACATTCAGCACCAAGCTGACAGCAGTGATTGGAAGGTCATTTATGTCTGAATATTCCACAGCCAAGCATTATTAACAATTGAAAAGGATTAAAATCTCTTGTGGGCGACATTTTGCCAAAACACTTTGAAGTCAGAGATTTAGGATTTAAGAGGATAGCAAGAGATGAAAAAGAGGGATTTTTTAATATCCCGAGGGTCTTGGAATCGGAAGTAAACAAGATTGATTTAAAGGTTTCTTCTTTTGTTCAGAGTTGTTTTTTGAGCGGAGGCTGCATCAATGGACTAATATGGATGGATGGATGGAAATCACAGAAAGTCATAATTGTTGCAGAATAAGCAATGATTTTTAGAGATAAACGTATCAATCAAAATGTAAAATAGCAGTCCATTAAATGTTTTGAGCCAGCGCTGCAGTCACATTTGGAAAAAAAAACTGTCAAGGACTTGTTTGAGTGGTTGATAACAGTAATAAGTTTTTTGAGGTCTGAAGGCTTGAATGTTGTAACTGATTTTTTAAAATCATGCTGAATGTTTAAATAGGAACACTGAAAAGCATTACAAACTGATATGGGCATGTAAAGTTGAATATACCTGTGATACAAAATTAAAAATTACAGAGATGTGAGTTGGTTTCTAAGCGGTACTTTCACTTGTTCAGCTGTCTTTCGATCTTCACCTACAAACTGGTTCAGGTGGACCCCGGTTTGGGACTGAGCCACATCCTTTTTTTAATGCTACATATTTTTTTCTTTGTTTATTTTAAGAATGTTACTTTAAATATAAACTGAGAGATTTTCACCCAATGAAGAAATTGGTGTCTACACATCATCCACTTGAGAACATCTGAAAAATATTTTTGTAAATGCATGCTTTGATATCTACCGATAGTCCTTCGTAGTAAAACCCAATAAGAGCGGAAACATTCACTTCTAGATTTAGTTTTTCTTGGTATCTTCTCATTCAATGCCTGTCGGTCAGATAAAGGCCACTATGGTTGTTTTCCCCATGCATGTCATGAAAGAAACTTTTAGTAATAAAAACATTTTGTTGACGTTTTTGGAGGGCTGTATCAAATCAATTGTGTTCTGAAACTCTGTTCTTTTGATGCTTGTATTGCTGTTGCTCTTTTCTTGATGATTTCTTCTTTTTTATTGATGTGTCTTGAAATAATTATAATGGATCTAGGGACTTTACTCTCTGATCAAAACATTGAGAAAGGAGAAAAAAAGAAAAGGGGAGGTAGAAAGATAGATACAGATAGGGAGAAAGGATGTTGAGAGGCAAGGGAGAAGAATAGAGATAAAGATAGGGAGAGAGAAAGATAGAGATAATGAAAGATAGAATGCTTAAGAATGAGCATTTTCTTTTGTTCCCCTTTTAATATTCTCCATTGCTTGAATACCTATCTACGGTAAGCATACAGTCTTCCAAGCTTTAAAACCGTCTCAAGTGTTTCCGGCTTAATGGTTAAATCCCTTTCTATAATTCAGTTGCAAGCACATAGTCTGTGTATATTTAGAATGCTCTTATGGATTACATTTACTCTGCAGCAGAGTGCTACCATGGACCAATATGTGTATTTGATCATTCGTAGTAGGTCCATGATTTAATCATATATTAAATGGTTTTTGTAGATTGAATGCGTGAGCTGGTATGGGAGAGAGGAGGAGAGAGAAAGGATAGGAAACAGCGAGAACATGTTGGTGTGTACATGTCTACCAGAAATAAAAGAGAGATTGAGATAGAGAGACAGTTTGGGATGAGAGAAAAATCATGGACCTATGGAAAAAGGAAGAGGAAAGGGGGAAGGTAAGAGCAAGGAGTGAGGTATGGTGGAAGGGATGAAAAGAGAAAGGATGAGAGTGAAAGAGACATTTGAAAGAGAGATGAGGAGAAGGAAAGAGAGAGAGAGAGAGAAGGAGAGTGAGAAGGAGAGAAAGAAAGAGAGAGAAGAGAAAGGAATAAATACACAGAAATGTCAAATCAATTTCAAAACCTCATCTATTCCTTCAATTTTTTTTCCTTAAACTTGGAAATTGACATGGAAATTGTCAAGTTCGGGATTACATTCCTGATGCCAAGGTTTTTGGGGACATCACACATTTGAAATGTTGAAGAATGAGGAAGGGTAATATTATCTTCATAATTCTTTGAGGGTGTCTTTCTGTGACACCTCACTCAGATGATAGAAGCTATGTTCACACGAAACTATAGGCCCATTCACACAGCCAAAACACCATTTTAAAAAAATCATCGATTTTTTGGACTCCTACCGTATTTATGTACACTACTTGAAAAACATTTTAAAAGTTGAAGTTTGCTCATACCAATATTATGGTGACCACTGCGCATGCGTCACTCGTCATTGTCCTGCATACGTTAGCATGGAAGCGAGGCGAGTCACGTGAGCAAACAAATCTGTATCTTACTGAAGTTTGCTTTTACACTGCAAAAATCTGTGAAACTCTGGCAGGCGTTTAAAAACAAAAACACTCCAGAGATGGATTTTTCAATTTTGACCTCTTACATGTTTTCTGGTATTTGCTATGTAACTACCATTTTTATATAGCAGAGGATTTACAGGGCCTGAAATGCTAGAAGGACCCATGACTAATTCTTAACTGCATGTTGGATCACCTCTTTGGCATAATGGATGAACATAATATCATGTATAACTTGATGAAAAGAACAAAGAAACAGGAAAAACAACTCCCAAAGAAACATTTTTCTTGAAACTAGCTTAGCAAGTGTCTGTCTGTTTCCTGTCCTGTGTATTCTAAATATCTCTTGACACATTGTGGAACTCTATCCTCCCTTGGGGGGAGATTACGCTACAGCCTCTGCTGTACAAAACACATTGGCAGCTAGAGCCACGCCAAGGGGGGTGTCTCCTGTGGTTCGTAAACAACGGTTTGATTGACTGGTCAATCAAATCAAGGATTCCCAACGCCAGCCAGCGTCACTCTGTCCAGTTCTGTCGTTTTGTGTTTGGTATTTTAACTTCGGTATTTGTTGGAGGTTTGGAAGTGTTTGTTGTGTCACATGTCAAGATTTCAATCGCTTTCTTTTGTGAAATTGAAGATCTCCTTTGAGCGATGATTTGTTAAAGCTCCTATTCTGTCTGATCACATTCTCTTGCTTTTCTCTCCATCTCCACTTGCTCCTCCTCCTCCATCTGATCATTCTCCATCTAATTGTTTTCCTCTCTTCTCTTCCACTCATCATCATTTCTTTCTTTTTCTTCTTCTTCTTCTTTTTCTACTAGTTTGTCATCGCCATTCTCCTCCTCCCCTTCTCCTCGACCTCACCCAACCTTCCCTCCTTCCCTTCTCCCCCTCCATTCTCCCCCTCCCTTCTCCCCCTCCCTTCTCCCCCTCCTTCTCCCCTCCTTCTTTTCTCCTCTCCCTCCTCCACTTCCTCATTCGGTCCCCTTCCACCTTCCACCTTCTACCATTTTCACACAAGCTTGAAACTAAATCATATCATGTTTTATGCTATCATAAAATCTTCTTCGAGCAAATTCAGAAAGAATCTACAAAACTATTTAGCAAGGTGACAAAATAACAAAAGGATGAATGTTACCACAATTGAAAGTGTAGGATAACCAGCGAATAAGTATGATATATAATTATGTTTCTCCTTAGTAATTAGTTGTTTTGAAACATTTAATTGACCATTTTTCCTTATTTCTACCAGGTACAGTGATACTTCCTCACCATGTTCCAAACAACAGTGGCTGTTCCAACAAGAGAGATGACCCCCTTGAGATGAGTCGATCATTAGAACAGAGCCTCATGGTTACTTGTGTCGGAAGCATTGCAGAACTGGGTAAGTTTCAAAAGGGGTAAAACTGTAGAATAGCATTGCTGAGTGCACTCATATTGCACCATTACTTGATAATACCTGGGAGTGTTTCACAGAGACTAAGATCAACTTAGATTTAACTTGAACTATGGCAGGCCTACTGAATATATTCAAGATTCTGTATCCGGCCCTTTGAAAAAGCATTTATAAATCTAATCAATATTATTGTCACTCATAGGTACTCCCTTTTCACCCACTTCTTTTACTAGTACAGTTTAAAAGCCATACTGTGCTATACACCGATTCGGGCGACTTCTGGTGGAAGTGCGCCCTCATAAGGTGACGCCATAACTGGGGGGCGTCTGACTGCAGCTAGCTAGCTTACATTGCAACGGGTATGCTATACCTATACCGAACCTCGCCCAGGCCGGCCAGGGTCGCTGCTCCGCTAGCTAGTAACCGCCCTCGAGCTCTCTGTACTGTCAGCTGGATCGGAGAAGCCCCCCAGTTATAGCGCCGCCACCGGCGGGCAGGTACATAAAACCCCCAAACCGAATCGGTGTATACACACTACAGCAGCATCCCCTCTAGCACCATCTCAGGTCAGCTGTAGCAGTATGGTCCTCTAATCACTGCTTCCCTAGCTGAGGAGCTGTTGGTTCTCAATTGAGTCCTCTGTCTGCAAAGTGGGAATTAGGCATTGGGTAACGCACTGTTGGCAAGTTGACCATGAGATGGCGCTGTGCAGTAAACAGTACCAGAACCATCCAGACACAACCCGGTTTGAGTTGGACACAGAATGGCGACTACTGATTTGTTCGGCAAGCACCAACAAAAGAGAATACAAGCCATGTTGTGCATGACCCAGTGAAACCAAGTTGGCCAAACTCTGTGTATAGATGGCTCTGAACAGTACGCTAGTGCAGCAAGTTCATAAGTTCAGTATCTCTTTAAAGTGACGGTCTATCATACCTAAAGTAGTCACTCCTTCTCATCATAGTTACTCCTTTTTTTCCCCGTAGGTGACCTTGTTGACCGGGCAATGCATTTTCACCAGAGTCGCCCTAGGGTCACCGGCTCTCCTCACAAGACCCATGGCATCACCTGGAGTCCTGATGCTCTAAGAACTCTCTTCCATTTCATGAGATGCAACCAGCTAGAGTACCAGGATGATAGACCCATCGTTCAACTTACTCCTGAAAGGTGATAATAATAATAATATTCCGTTTTATAAAGCGCTTAATACATCGACGATGTCTCTAAGCACTTTAGAGATATATTATTACCCCGGTCATCGGATTCAGGCTTGACCGCACACAATGTATGCACATTCTCCACTCCCTGTTGAGTACTGAATTCTGGCATGCCCATAGGCTTTAAACATGGACCACCTGGTTTCTGTAGGTAATGAGTTAAAAAAGTAAAAACAATCTTAACCTAATTTCATTTTCTTCTTATGATTCTCGTTCACCTCCAGGCCTTACGTTGTACTCCCGCCCCTGATGGAGTGGATACGAGTCGCTACCACGCATTGTGAACATCGTCTGAGCAGTGTAGTAGATAGTGATGACATCAGGCAGGCTGCAAGGCTCCTTCTACCAGGCATCGATACACCCGTTAGGTCTCTCAGGTAAATACTAAACAAACAAGTAAACATGGAAACAAATGTACGAGTCGAATAATATTTAAGACAACATTTATGTATATTTGACTTACATTATCTATGAGTGTTACACAAGCTCACAAGGGAGAATGGCAACGAGTGAACAACTAGAAACATAGCAATAGTTTAAACATATTTGTGGCTTACACCCAGTAAGAAAGAGAGCAAGAAAGAACGAGAGACAGGGCAAACAGAGAGAGAGAAAGAGATTAGTAATATCATACAATGATCTGTTCATAGAATTTTGGAGAGAAAAATAAGTCTTTCAAAATAGTTCATTTATATTATCCTAATAAATTAGTTTTTATGTAAATGATGAAATCATTATTTATGTCTGTATCTCTCTTTCTCTGTCTTTCTTGCCCTGTCTCTCTTTCTTTCTTGCTCTGTCTCTCTGTCTCTGTCTCTGTCTCTCTCTCTCTCTCTAACTCTCCTATCTTTCCTCTTATCTCTTTTTTCTCTTTTCTCTCTTTCATTTCTTTCTGCCCTCCATCCCTATTTCATCTACCCTCTGCATTTATCCCTCCATCTTCAGAACGGACGAGTCTCTTTGTTCATCAAGGCACCTCGATGCAAGCCAGTCCACAGCTCGGTTCCAGCAGGACCTGGGCTTCCGTATGCTGGCCTGTGGGAGGACAGACCTGGTCCCAAATGCTGCTGCTTTGCTGGGACCAGATGGCATCGATGCTATTAGTGAACAGGTGATTAGCATAGCTGCCAACCATTCCTATTTTTGAGGAAGGATTCCTATTTTTGACATTCACACTAATCTTACAAACTCTAGATTCCTTTGTTTTTCTAAAAACTTCTATGTAAGAGGTATGCATCAAGGGATTCCTAAATTTTTCTTTGAAAGTTGGCATGTATGGAATAGGTCTAGCATAGAAGTCGTAGAGCAGAAATAACCCCATTATAAACTTGCGTAAAAGAGCTGGCAATGTTAAAGTGGAGTGTGTCTACGCGAATAACTCACAAAAATGTCTGTGTCCATTTCATCCATGAAAGTGTCTATACACGGTAGTATCGGTTTGTACAGCATATGATTCATTAGGATTGTAGGATCTCATGTAGTTATGTTTATTTATACCGGTAGATGTATATATGTATATTTATGTATATTTACTGTATGTATATTTATGTGTTATACCATCAACTAATGAAGAGAGCCTTCTAAAGTAACTTTGGTAATCCCAGGCATTAGTTGATGGTTTCTTTTCTTCTGTTATTGTATTTATTATTGCACTTTGTTTTCTTGTATACTTTGTTATACTCCTTTATGCTCCCTCTTTGGGCTGATATTTTTCAGTTTTGAATGCTTTAATACATTATTTTCCTTAAAAAAAACGATTTTAAAAAGAAAAGTTAAAAGATGACCCTAGATTTCAAGATTTGTGGGTCGGTCGCAAAGGGCAAGACAGCATCTTGTTTTAAGGCCTTATGATGTCAACATGTGAATCTGTTCGTGATCAACTGCTTAGTATCTTTGCATTACCATGAATTCTTTGTCTGTTCCTTGCAGGGCATGACAGCATTGATGTTAGCCTGTGCGAGGGGAGATGAAGCAATGGTGCAGATATTACTGGACAATGGTGCTAAGCCTAATCTTACCGTAAGTATTATATATGGTCCAAAAATGTGTTATATGATATAATGTATTATGTTCACTTATATATACAGTCAAACCTGTCTATAGTGACCGCCCAAGGGAATCACAAAGTGTGGTCTTTGTAGACAGGTGGTCACTAAAACAAGTTTGACTGTACATATTCATGTGAGCATAGGTTAATCAAAAACATTTGATTTGATTTTACTTGATTTGGCATAGTTCATTCGACATTAAAATCTTCTTTTAAAATCTTTTGCGCTGAAATTTCTGCTTTTATAGTTTTAATGATGTTCATTTTGTTGTTGATGTTGTAGGTCCCGAGTAACAGTCAGATGTACCCGTGCATTCACCCGACCATCAGACATTGGACGGCTCTCTCGTTTGCAGTGGCTCGGAGGCATACTCCTGTAGCTCAGGTATGCATGTACACCAATCTTAACCTCAATCATTCTTGGCCGCCATGTTTTTTTGTCAGTTTTCAAAAAAGCAATCTTGTAATAGGAACTTTTTTTCCCCAAAATGTTTTTTTTCTTCAGAAAAATCAGCTTATAGTAGCAACTTTTTTTAATAAAAGTGCTTACCGATAGCTTTATTGAACAACATTGGCATGAAATATTTTATATAGGATATAAACTTAGAGATAAGTTTAGCCAAATGAATGAATATGGCAATGATTTCAACTTGATCGTTTCGTTTTAATCAAATAATATGTATTAATAATCCAATAAAAAAAAATTCAGTTATTTTTTGTTGAAGGACATGAAACAATATACCGTTATTAGTGATAGCCATCAAATAAAGGTCCTTTGTTTTCATTCTAATCAAAGGAATTAATATAGCAGTGATATTTGAGAGGAAGCTAACCAATATTTCTTTTCATGTTCAGTTATTATTAGATGCCGGTGCTAATGTAGAAGGGGCTCATGGAGAGAACTACACACATTCACCTTTACAGCTAGCCTCAGCTGCAGGTATGTATAGAATCCCCATTCAAACCTCTTGATTAGCACCACTTATTGCAATCCATGTCAGGTTACAAATAATAATAATAATATGAAATTTATAAAGCAGCGTTCTCCGCTAGGCTCTGACACTCATGGCGCTTTACACATATTACCCTGGCTGTTGCCGAGCTGCCAAAGTAACAAGCGCTCAAGCATATCAGGTACCCATTTACACCTGTGGGGAGTGGCAAATGTAGATTGACGTCTTGCCAAAGGACATTTGTGCAGCGGCGGGACTTGAACCCCGTGCCTTGTGATCTGCAGTCGGGTGACTTGTCCACTAGACTACTACACCTCTACACCTCTATATGAATATATACAAACACTAAACCCATTGCCTACTTTAATCGAGTATTAAGCCTATGGAAGTGAATGAATTCAGTTGTCAACATGGCCCTGTATTACAAAGGGTTAAAATCAATCGCAGTTTATTTGTGATTGGTATCAACGCATCTATGTACATAAGAGATGGGAGACTGCAAACTTGCGATTGATTGGAGGACTTGCGATTGATTTGGATCAATCACAACTCTTTGTAAGACGGGGCCCATGTTAACATAATTTCCAATCTCTCTCAATCTGGAACCTATTTTACATGTATCTCACAATCCCTGGATTTTTTTGTAATACATCTGGGCTTCTCTTGTATTTCCATATGTATATATATTGAAACTGTTTGTAATCCCTATGTTTTATCTCTCATTCAGGATATCATGAGCTGGTGTGTCTTCTCTTAGATAAGGGAGCAGACCCATACCTTACAACGCTGCATAGAAATGGGATCACCAGTAAAGGACATGGCAACTCATTTGCTCTAGCAGCTGCTCATGGGCACAGGTAACAATTAAGAGATATTCAACTTTGACAAAAATTGTATGCTCCCCAAAATCAAAGAAAATGGGCACTGATCATGAAAATACGGAAAGAAACAAATGTGATAGATACATATATGTGTAAAACGCATAATGGATTAATAATCTGGATTTATTTAGCGATTGATACGTAATACCATCTTTAAGCGCTTTACATATATAATTATTCTGGTTATCGGATTCAGTCTTGCACCAAGTGCACCATCTCCCCTCCCTGGGGAGTATTTCTACCATATGGTCACCGTGAGGGCACGTGGCAATTACTAACACAAATGCTTTCGTCCTCCTACCGGGTCCCAATTTCTCTCCCGGGTATAGAGTGGCAATTATGTAGATTAATGCCTTGCCAAAGGACATTATAGAGCCGTGTCGGGGATCGAAGCCACGATCTTTGCATTTCAAGTCAAATACTTAAAGCAAATACTCGACTATGACACCTCTACCCCATAGAAAATTATTTCAACAAATTTAGAGGTAAAGAATATTGTGTATTGAGACCCAGAGGGCCATTAACTCATGTTTGATAACACAGTTCAAACGCCCTTCTGACTATCAACAGAGAATTTTTTGTAGTTTTCTTAAATGAGAGAATCACAATTTTTGTAGGACAATTGTTATGTCTTCATACATGTAACTCTCTTTTTCTCTGTCTCTCTTTTTCTCTCTCTCTCTCTGTCTCCCTCTATACCTCCTCCTTCTCCCTCTTCCCCTCTCAATTTCTGTTATCTTCAATAGAAATATTTTACGTAAGCTTCTGGAGCAGCCTCGATTGATCCGCTCATCAGACATCTTGTCTCTGGAGGAGATCTTAGCCGAGGGATCAGACGGGCCTAAGGAACGGAAAGCCAACAAAGCCAGGAAGAACAAGATTGCTCTTATGCTACAGGTATGTATCCCAACTCTATCTCTCACTATCTGGACCCCATGGAAGACCAGTAGTGTAGTACCTGGCAAAGCTGAATATGGGTTATCCAGCTTTTTCATTCATATTTATGTATATACTTTCATTTTATGTTTGTTTTTAATTAAACAGAAAATAAATACTACTACTACTACACATACATGTTATCACCATGGTTTAGTGTCTGTTTTCCCACGCTGTAGGGTTGGTCTGTGTTCTTTATGGCCTTTCTCGAAGTCATCTTGTCATCAGCATCTACCTGACTGAGGCCTAGGTCCTGTTTCATAAAACTTGTTATCAATATGTTATCATGTTATTATGTAGGGTGGAAAATTTAGATAAATGTCTTGCCAAGGGATACTAATGCCACAACTAGGTGTTGTGGTGTGCGCCTGTAATCCAGCTAAAAGTGGAAGTTACAAACTGATTCAGCCAAGGACACAGGTTCGAAACTGAGTCACTTCTTTCGGATGGTGACGTTTAAAGGTCGGTCCCCAGACGTAAATAGTCATATCTGATTGATACAAGTCTGTAAAACCCAATACACATACACACACTACCATGCCAGGGTTTGAACCCACAACCTTTGCATTTCCATTCAAATGTTGAAACCACTGAACTACAACACCTCTTCATGTACTCAGCATCCATTTTATGTTCCTATTTTGTCCCATCATAGGAGGCGATGTACCACAGCTGTGAACATAATTACCTAGACATTGCAATGGAGCTTCGTAGCCTGGGCGTCCCGTGGACCTTCCATTGCTGGCTAGAGACCCTGCGTACCGCCAAGTACTTCCATCGGTTAGCCATCATACAATGTTTGTTCAGAGACTTTGGGTCTATCCCCATCGAGGAGGATTATGAGGAGCTGATCAGGGACGGACTCCCTCTCATGTTTGAGATCTTCCGGCAGAGCAAGGTAATAATTATAATAATAATATACCATACTTATATAGCGCATATCACAATATGTCTCTATGCGCTGTAAGAAAGAGTAAGAAGGAAAGGTGGATAGAGTAACATAAGAAGAGTTAGATATGCTCAACATAATTCCTCTCGTTAACATTGGAAAGTATTTTTGAAAAGAAATGTTTTAAGACGCACCTTAAAGTTGTCAACAGTATCACGGGTAGGACTATTTGGCTTTTTAACGGCATGACAATTGCAGACTCTATCAAATTATTTCCAAGCAAGGTTTACATGCCATACAAAGATGTGTTTTAATTTGAGGAAACATGGACGATGAATATGGAGAACAACCTCTTCTCATGTTTGAGATCTTGAGGCAAAGCAGAGTAGAACTATTGGCTTTCCATAGATCGATCGTGCTATCTGGGCACTCTAAAGCTGTATGAATACTTCTCTCACCTCATCTGAAGAAGAAAAAAAAAAAATATATATCTGACAATAAAACTGAAGTCGTGTTTTCGGACTAATACTGAATGTTTCTCGAAGAGATGCTATTTTTGTTTGAACCAAATATTTGTGTCTTGATAATCTCTCATTCTTCTTAATGTCATGATAGATTTTTCATAAATGGTTAACATAGAATTTGTCACATGTTTTGTCATATGAAATTTGAGTATTGTTTTCACTTTACCTGTGATATATAATTTATATGTTTACATTGAAAGAGAAATTGATCAATCAGTTCTCATTTATATTATTATTTTCAGAATGATCTAGTGAGCAAACAACTGGCTATGGTCTTTCCTCTTCTCATGGGCTCTGATAAGATAACTGAGATCCCCCTACCGGATGCTATGCATGGGGCTAGGATAGGTAAGATCATCATATCTGCTTAAAGCCATACCGTACTAGAAGCACAACCATGAAATTCACTTAAGCGCCATATCTCAGGTCAGCTGTAGCAGCATGGACCCGTAACTCCCTGCTTCTAAAATAAATCATTGGGTAAACTATTAATGTAGATGGTAAAAAGAAGTGGCCCTAGAATCGAACCTTGTGGGACTCCCATCATAACTTTTGAGGAACTAGCTTCTCTAACTGCACTGTCCGTTCTTGCATCAAGTCCTCTGCCAAGTGGGAATTGGTATTGTGTTTCAGTTTTTTCACACTGTTGGCAAGTTGACCATGAGATGGTGCTGTACAATAAACACTTGGGCAGAAGTTCATAAGTTCAGTGTGGTTTTAGACTCTATTCAGCTCTGTTCATTTATTTTCTGTTTATCTCCCTCTCTGTATATCTTTCTCTCCATTGTCTCTGTCTTTATTTTATATTAATCATGGATGCTCAATTGCAAGGATGACACATTAAATAAAATGGTGTGACCATATCTATTGTATTATCGTCCTTGTTTTCACGAAGTGACGGTAGCGAGGAAAATCGTAACGCAAAGTGAATGCAATTTGTTTTCACTACCGTCACTTCGTGAAAACAGCGACGTTATGATGGAGCAGTCTGAGTGTTAGTTTGAACATTTGTTTGATGTATCAAATCAAGAAAGTCCAATTATCGAAAGGCCTTCTGATTCACTTGATAAAAGCTTTATTACATAGATAGTACTGCTTATGAAGTTTATTATGTCATTGGAAATGTCTTGGCATTCTTTGAGAAGATCCTTTGTAATGAAAGGACAACTTGTCCTTAAAGTCATGTTTCGTATACTGTGTGCTTCTTTTTCAAACCTGTACTAAAGAAACCTGTTCATATAAACCACCTCCATTTAAAGACTAAATTTTTAGTGTGTTATGTTTCCTTAAGCAGTCTTTATACACAGGTTTCACTGCATTTCTCTTTGCCTTCTTTGTAAAGACCCTCAATACATCAACAATCCTGAGATGTCCGATGTGACATTCGTGGTGGAAGGTCGGAGGTTCTACGCCCATAAGATCGTCCTGGTGACGGCATCCAAACGCTTCAAGGCCATGCTCTCTGATCGGATGCTTGATCCTCAGAAACCAGTGTTAGAGATCTCGGAGTTTAGCTACCACATCTTCCAGGTTAGTAGTGATTGTGATGAAGATGATGAATATAAAGTTTACAATATGTTTTCAATCAAAGGAAATAAAAGTTTTAAAATGTACCAGATTTAAAAAATAATATTTTCATACAAAACAATAGGAGGAAGTTCTTTGCATTTTATAAACAAAGTAAGAGCCTCAAAAGGAAAGCATATTCATAAACGTGATATTACCTTCATAAAATGTTCCCCTATTTTGCTTTGAGTTGGTGAAAGTGAAAGCTACCCTCTGTGAAAATAGTTTTGCTTGGTATGACGGATATAGGATATCCTGTCATGATCACGCATGTCGTCAATTAAATATACCTAAAGGATGTCATTAAGTATAAGGTATTGTCTGTAAAGACCTAGTATTCTTGTTACATTACTAGCCATTTTCTCTATCACCCAATACTTCTCTTGTGTTTATATTTGTTGTTTTAATATAGGAATGTATATTTCATATTAAATTAAATATTGGTTTAGTATTTGAATTCGTATGTCATATTTAATCATATCGGTTACACAGCCCCATTGTAAACCAGTTTACTAGTTAACTGTTCAGGGTCCTTCAATGTGTTTAAAATAATTAATCAATTAACCAATCATCAGAAATCATTGATTCTCACACAGTCCTAATCACATCATTGTCTGGGGCTGTCATATTTTCAAGCAATCTGCTTTCAATGACAGTCCTTCTTCCACAAATAATCGTATAATGTTTGAACAAATTTAGTATTTATGACATGTTATCATTTCGTTTTTGAAAAAAAAAAAAATTGTTACAATATATATTTACTTACCGTATTTATGATTCACTGTCAGAAAAATGCTGATTGTATTTTATACTACTTCTGTTATCGAAAAACTGTGTACTAGTATGAGTGCAGAAAAAATCAAATCAAATCAAAATATCCTTCTTTTTTGCACACACTCCTCTTGATTTATTGTACTTTGTTTTTACAAAATCCTCATGATGTATTATTCTCTCTCTCTCTCTCTCTCTCTCTCTCTCTCTCTTTGCTCCATAGCTTGTGATGCAGTACCTCTATAATGGAAGCACAGAGAACATTCATGTCAAACCTGCTGACCTTCATGAGGTATGTCAATCATCATCCGACCTACTCAGGACTACCCCACTCCTGACACCTTATGAAATAAGATAATAGTACAACTACTTATAATAGTGATAATAATAGTGGTGATGATAATAATGGTAATAATAATAATGATAATATTAATGATAATAATGGTAATAGTAATGATGATAGTAATAATGATAATGATGATGGTGATGATGATAATTATAGTGATAATGATTATTATAATAGTTGTAGCAATAATGATGATCATAATAATATTGATAACAATAATGATGATGATGATGATGATGATAATGATATTGAAAATAATGAAAATGATAATAATAATAGTGAGAATGATAGTAGTAATAAGTTTATTTATATAATGCTTTTTAGTTTACAAGGAGCTGTCCCTCTATATATATTGCATATGAAATCCCACTCCTGACACCTTTATGATACATGATAGAACATTTCATTTCTTGCTTCTGAGAGATGAATGGAACATACCTACACCTGTTAATAATAGTACCTGCAAATAAGACTTTCTACTTCTGACACCTGAACATTGTTGAGATATCATTCCACTTCTGATAACAGAAAATAGCAGAGAGAACACTTCCTCACTCCAAACATTGGAAAATACTTTGCAATCTATTGAGTCATTTTTGTCAAGGGGCTAAATGAGAAGAAAAAGAACAGATTTCTCTCTCTCTCTCTCTCCCTCTCTTTTGCTCTCTCTTGCTCAAGTGAAATTGGAAAATCATGCATTTATTTTAAAGCAATAATCTGATTGCAAAATTGTATCTTCCAAGATGAGGAAACTTCTTTCTTCACATGCATAGTCCATATTAGCTCAAATGAGAACACAACTTTGTAAGGCATGTAAACTTGCTTGGGAACAATTTTGTAGGAGGCCTATCAGCAATTTGTCAAATGAGATTCTTGCCACAGCAGTTAAATATGCTTTGATCATTTGCTTCATCTTGCTAGTAATCTAATCCACGATTTCATCAGATAAATGTACAAGTTAATGTTGCTTTCTCTCAAATATGTTTGCCTGGTGGCCCACTTTATGTCTCCTTTTTTAGCTTGTCTAATATTGATTGTTCTTGATTGTTGTTTGTAGTTGCTGTCAGCAGCCAATCACTTTGTATTGAGCGGTCTTCAGCTTCACTGCGAGAGACTGCTTAGCTTTGATCTGGCCTGGGATAATGCTACTACAATCTACAGACAAGCCAGAGTGAGTAGTTTTTAATGATAATGACAATATTTATATACACAGGGCGTATCAATAAAAAGTGTACCCAACTTTGGTAGCTCCTAATTGAAAAGCCATAACCAATTATACTAAATGAAGTTTTCATAAAATGAGTATGCTGTTTTTATACTGTGTTGTTTGTATACTGTGTTTGTCTTTACTTGTCTTTCTTTTTTGTCTTGATATATGAGAGCTCATTCTGTGTTGGGAGGTAACATAAGATTCTTGAATGATAAGTACTTCATGGATAACAATGAAATTAAAAAGCAGTGGGCTGTGCAATGCCAAGTGAATGATGAGACAATACGCATAGTTGAACAAGTAAAGGAATTGATCAACTCGAGGGATGATTATTTATGTAAGGGTTTCCTTAACCGAGAGGAGTGCGAGGAAATTATCTCGTATTTATGCACACTCTGATCTTACCCTGTTATACATGTATTTTGTTGTTGATGTTTTTTTTTTTTGTCTTTACATATATTGTGAATGTGCCTATTTGTAGAAGATATTGTATATTTTTTTTTTTTTTTTTATATGTGCTTTTTAAAGCGAATAAAGAACTCTTGAATTGAAAAAAAAAATATGTTTGGGAGCACCTTCCTGGCTTCTTTAAAGATATTTGATATTTTCTCAGCACTCTTTTAAAATTCAAGTCAATTTGAATAAATTTTACTCCACCAAGGCGATTAAAAATAACATACATTCATAGAATTATACATTGTTGCATTAAAAGAGTAGAATACATGTATATCCATTGGTACAACAATATATAAGTTGCTTGGTTAGGTATCAGCCAGAACGGAAGTTTACCCTTATAAGTGGCAGACCTAAAGAAGATATATAAATTAAAAGATAAATGTTAGTACCAGATTTCATAACAGAATGCACGTTCATGTTTCCCATAACAGTTATATGGAGCAGAATCCCTGCTGGAATACTGCCATTGGTTCTTCCTGCTCAACATGCCAGAACTCCTTGCCAAGAACGAAACCTTCAAGAAACTGATCTTCCCTCCCAAGCAACATCCTTATGACTTACCCAGTATGCTGCAGGATACCCTGGCCAAACAGATCTTCAACCGCTTCACCAAGCAAACCACTGTCTGATTGAACATTGCACTCTTTGTGAAGACATTTTTCAGCTTTTGCACCAAGCAAACCACCGTCTGATTGAACATTGCACCCTTTGTGAAGACATTTTCAGCTTTTGCACCAAGCAAACCACCATCTAAATGAACACGTACTGCACCCTTTGTGAAGATATTTTCAGCTATTGCACTGAGCAAACCACTGTCTAATTGAGCATTGCACCCTTTGTGAGGAAATTTTCAGCTTTTGCACCAAGCAAACCACTGTCTAATTGAACATTGCACCCTTTGTGAAGCCATTATCAGCTTTTGCACCAAGCAAACCACCGTCTAATTGAACATTGCACCCTTTGTGAGGACATTTTCAGCTTTTGCACCAAGCAAACCACCATCTAAATAAAGACTGTACCTTTTGTGAGCTTATTTTCTATACGCTGCACCTACAAAGTACCACTTAGAAGAAGTTTATACCCTTTGTCAGTAAATCTTCATCTTCTTCAACAAGCAAACCACCGTCTGAATAAAGACTGTACCATCTGTGAGCTTATCTTCTACTGCTGCACCATTAAAGTACCACTGAACTTATGTATCTCCACCTAATTAAGCACCGTGCATATTACAGTCCTACTAAGGTGAAAACCTTAAATATTAGCATTGGACAAACTGCATCATATTACATTTTATGTCATTAGAAAAGTTGTTTTCTCATCAAATGTACGATTTAATGCTGAAAGTGTTATCAAATATATATATAGTATTATTTATTCATTTAAGTTGATTCTTTTTAAGTTTCTATTTTCAGTGTTTCTCATCCACTGAAGAAAATTTTGTAATAATTTTAACCTTTAGCAACTGAGTCGTTTAATTGCCATAGGCTTAAAGTTGAGTTCTGGTCATGGCGTTGTGAAAGAAACGTTGTGAAATCGATCAGAACAGGTTGATCATCTTGCACATAAGTATTGGTGTGTACTGCATAGTTCTGGAATCATCAAAATGATAAGAAATATGGCCCAGTCTTGGAAAAAGTAACAGGCACTGTACACAGAAAGACATATACGGGACTACACTGTCTACGCAAACATGTGGCATAAAAATGAGGCCCACATTTTTAAGCCGTTACATGTCATATCTAGAAAATGAAGGCATTTGAAGAGCCATGCTTTTCAGGGAACATTTTTTTCTCTGATGTTCTTACACACTTGCATAATAACAATGATAACACTCACAAATTATTTTTCACCTCTCCCCAGAACTCAACCTTCTCTTTAAATCAAGAACACCTCTGAATGTCATTGTGTGTTTAGAAGTTATCTCATTATAACCTCCTTGAATGTTACTGCACAAAACCAAATATTGACTATGCTGTTCCCCAGCCCAATACTACATGAACCTGAGACAGAAGAATAGGACTTTGTGTGTTTCATGTCTGAACAAATTTATTTTGTTATCTCAGAATAGAGATCAAGTTTATTTGTCCGTCAGCATTATCTTTATTATTTATTTAACTTTGAAAACATTCTTGTGATTCTTTATGCAGAATCCTGTTTACTTTATGCTGGAACTTTGAGACTGCTGGGCAGTCAAATCATGAATTTTTATTTGAGTATGTATTTAAGAATTTCGCCTAATAAAGTGTACTATGATATGTAAATATATGGCAGGCAGATTAAATATTGAGATTATACAGAAGTGAAGGGAAAACAAACAGAAATACGGTGCCAAATAGCATGTTGTTGTATTATAAGGATAGCGGATTGATGAGAAGTATATCACGTCCAAATAATAATTTAGGGGACTATGATTGTTTTGCAGTATGTGAATTTTATGAAAAGGTGATAAATGTATAAGATAGTCAAACATCATAAGTCATTATTATACATACAAGCCTATTTGCCAAGATAATAAAATCATGTATTTGATTCCTTTTGTTTGATCAAGTTCAACATTGCTAGCATGTTGCGTTTCTTCTTTATATTACGTCACTCCACCGAGGTAGCTTAATGTCTTGCCAAAGGATATTTGGCAGGGATTTGAACCCCATACCGTGCGGTTCAAAGTCCTTATCCACTGGACCACAACACCTCTACACATATACATGTATATTGTTTGTTTATCTTTGATGTGTTATCTGAGTTTCCTTGTACCCTGTGTATGTTTTGTTACATGACGACCCGTTCTTGACACGGGGCCATAAAGCACTGGTATTGACTGAAGCCTCCGAGAGGCTGATTATTATCATCAATATAATTATTCACCAATCAACTTTTACACCATTGGTTCAATAATTTTCAATGTTCAATTCATCCTTTGTCATATGCAAGTTGTGTTGAGTCCTGGTTATGGTTCTCAAAGAATCTTAAGAATATTTACTCTGAATTTTCAAGATTTCATACAAATGGCATCCAAATTATATAAGAATATTTTTTTGTAAGCTTTGGGGGCTTTGGAGGGGGAATTTGGAGTTCTTGTGTTCATTGTCTTCATGTGCCCTGCTTAAATTCCTTCATAATCAAGACAAAGATTGGGACAAGCTTAAAGAAATGTTGAGGCAGCTTGCGCCCCCTTCCCCTTCCCTGCTACTCCGTTACATATCTGACAAGGAAAGATCAAAGACTTTCTGCATATTATTTTTTTTTAGTTTAATGACATTTTACTTGTCTAAAGAACTGGTACAAATGAGAAACAATTTGGAATGACTTTTAGCCTTTTTCATGCAGTTTTCTTTTAATAGAACTCAAAATGACTTTCATCTTTTAGCACCAGAGAGTGGAATATTTGTTTAGCTTGATATGGCACCCTTATACAACTCCATTGATAAATTTTGATAAATTGCAACAAATTAACTTCAGAATGGACTTCAATTAATAGTACTTGAGGATCGGAATCATTCAGTATTGATGCCTTATGTTTACTGCTATGTCTTGTGAACTTTGACGATTTCAGCAACTCCCTGAAAATAATAGAGCTATATAATTATGTATAAAAGGTCTGTAGATAAGTTTGTGTTTATTTATATGCAAAACAAAATGGTAACTCAAGCATTTCATGCCATGTGTATGTTCATGTTTCAGAAGGTTTTGTAATGTACATTGTTTCTCTATAAACCAACTCATGTATTGAAGTTAAAAGCCATTGTATATATATGTCATGATTTTATTACTAATTTTGATTAAGATAATAGCCTAATTAAGAGATATTGTATTTATTATTGAAATGACCATGTTGGTAATAAATGTTTGGTAATACCTTGAATCTTGCTGTTGCTGGAGTCTTTTTATACATGTATGTATTGTTAAAGTGGGATAGGTTCGCATTACAGTTGAATAATCCTCGGTCTACCACAAATATTTATATTTAGGGATTGACAAATTTAGATAAAAAGGAGATGAATGCTGTAAGTAACTGGCTGTGTGAGTGAAGAAAGGGAAGAAAGGGGAGATGGGGAGAAAGGAAGAGAGAGAGAGTGATGGGGGGAACTAAACTGAGAGAGAGGTGGGGAAGGAAGAGGGAGTGATGGGGGGGGGGGGAATGAAGAGGAAGAGATAAGGAGAAAGGAAGAGGAAGAGATAGGGAAAAAGGAAGGGGCATTGAATTGAATTGCATTTATTCACCACTTCCATAAAAACATACAAAGGCAAAGAATACAATAAAATATTTCTAGCAAACATAGATAAACCAATAAACTGGAAAATATACCAAAGGAAATTATGAAGTGGTTGGGTCATCAAACAAGTTACAAAAACTTATAGGTAGATGATCCAAAAAAATTACACACAAAAAACAAAAAAGAGACAAAGAAAACAAAATAATACAATGGTAATTACACACTTTAAAACAACATTTCAAAAATTGCGGTTGTCAAATTCAAATTTTCTGCATCAGGTGAAGTTTTAGATTATGGTTAAAATTGTTTAAAGTTGCACACTGATTGGCCCGAATTCACAAAGGAGGTTTGTCGACAAACCTCGGTTTATGTGCGTCATTATGTCGCGTTTCGACGCGTTTTTATAAACCAGGTTTGTAAAAAAAAAAACGCGTTGAAACGCGTCATATGACGTACATATAGGTTTGTCGACAAACCTCCTTTGTGAATTCGGGCCTTTAAGTTTTGGGGGTAGTGTTCCAGATGGTAGGTGCTTGACATAAAAAGATACTATTTGAAAATGAAGAATGACCATATATAACACGAGTGTCTACTGAAGTCCTGGTATTATTATATCTATGAATATCATTATTCCTCTGAAATATATTACAACAAACTTCTGGTAATTATGAATACATAAAAACACAGAGTTAAAAATCATGTAATAATGATATTGGGAGGATATTCAGTTTCAAGAATATAGGTCTGCCTGGACTTAAAAATGGCTTGTGGCAAATTATACGAAACAGATGGGCAGTAAAAGAAGATTAGAGAACTGGAGATTTAGAGAGAGGGAAGTGATTGGAGGGGAAAGGAAAGGGGAGGGACTAAAATAGAGATATAGGGGTAGGGTGAGAAAGAGAGAGCGAGGAAGGGGGACTGAGAGAAAGAGAGAGAGAGAGAGAGAGAGAGGTTAGAAAGGAGAGGGACCGAGAGAAAAGAGAGAGGGACCAAGAGAAAGAGAGAGGGGTAGGGAGAGAGAGATAGAGAGAGAGAGGGGTTGAGATTGAGTAGAATAGAGACAGTAAGAGAACTATAGAAGATGACGAATTAAGATAGAGAAGGGATAGAGGGATGAGAATGCTATGGTCTCGATTCTCAAAGGGTTCTTTCTCTTATTTCGAGACGTTAAAAGCTGATAAAAGACTAATGCACGGCCGTAAAATATAATCATAGCTATTAAATATATCACGCGATGTTTAAAATGAAACCAACAGAGACGATAAACATAAAGATAAAGATATCAAAGGATGTTAGAGAAGTCACATGATGTTTAAAATGAAACAAAAGGAGACGATAAACATGAAGATAAAGATATCGCAGGATGGCAGGGAAATTTAATCTTTTCCCATATCCCTTTATCTCTCTCTCTCTCTCTCTCTCTCTCTAGCTCTCTCTCACTCTCTCTCTCTTTCACACACACACACGCACGCACACACTCCGAGTCTCTCATTTTCCCGCGCGTGCTTCTTCTTCTTCTTCTTCTTCTTCTTCTTCTTCTTCTTCTTCTTCCTCCTCCTCCTCCTCCTCCTCCTCCTCCTCTTCTTCTTCTTCTGCTTCTTCTTCTTCTTCTTCTTCTTCTTCTTCTTCTTCTTCTTCTTCTCCTCCTCCCTCCTCCTCCTCCTCCTCCTCTTCTTTTTCTTCTTTTTCTTCTTCTTCTTCTTCTTCTTCTTCTTCTTCTTCTTCTTCTTCTTCTTCTTCTTCTTCATCTTCTCCTTCTTCGTCTTCTTCTTCTTCTTCTTCTTTTTCTTCTTCTTCTTCTTCTTCTTCTTCTTCTTCTTCTTCTTCTTCTTCTTCTTCTTCTTCTTCTTCTTCTTCTTCCACCGTGAATCCAGTATTTTGATAAAGTGTGGATAATTGCCTATATCATATATTGTTTGGAGCATACCGCTTTAATCCTCAAATAGCAAGTCCACGATAACAATTTCTACCCCGTACGGATCTGTCTGAAACTATATCTCTTATTGTTTGTTTGTTTTGCTTTATTTCCACTTTTCATATCAATACAAAGAAACATACAAATGAATATAATGAAATAACATGTAAGTTTGACAAAATTTGTTTCTAGTTAAAATAAAAGTTTCATACAAAAGGAAAAAGCAGGAGACCACATGTCGTAAGCGTAAATGCTTGAACATGACCGTGGCCTCTTCCGAGTTAACAAAATAAAAGAACAACCCATGCAACTGCATTGTATTCAATGTTAAATAAGATATAAGTGAAGTGATTGAAAGTAAGCATGGCTGAGTTCATTTTGAGTGAAAATAACAAAACATATTTTAGTGAAATATTTCGTGTTGAGAAGTGCATTTGTGCAAGTTGCACAAATTTAGCTTGGTGGAAAAAAACAACTAATACCGTGATATTAATTGTGTGTTGGTTTCAGTTACGGGTGATAATATTAAATGTATGCAGGGTCCATTCCTGTTGACAAACAAAGGCAGAACAATTCAAGACATAACAAATTAGATAATTTTAAATTTCTATGTAAGATCTAATAAATTATACTGAGTTAACAAACCTATTACATCTCTATTATTTTGTATGATTGCATTATCTTTGTTAATGATTTCGCAATTCAGGCATTGATGGCTATCATGAACATTTAAAATAAATAATAAATTCTTCTTCTTCTTGTTTGTTTTTGTCTTGTTTTGTTTTGTTTAACGGGTACCAGGCCTTACTTTATCTGTTTGGTACCAGCAAAACATTATATTTTGACATACCAGTAGGTCCATGGACTAATAATAGTACTCCTCTGGAACATGATGTACCTACTAAAAACAGACCACCGTGTTAGCCTTCAAACGGTGGTTTCCTCATTTTCTGCTGTAGCCTATCGTTCGTGACACACTCCAGTAAAGGTTTCAATATACTGTTATTTATTTATTTATTTAATCATGATTTCTTTCAACAGGGTAGTTTCATTTAGTTCCACTGGAAGCCAGTATAGCTGCTTTTCAATTAGAAAGCCCTGCCTAATACAAGTATAACAACATAAGTATAATAATGCAATAATAATGGTTTGGTTTGATGGTTTGTTTTATTACCTGACTGCTAAGGAAAACAAGTGTATATGGTTCACGGTAAGTAAGCAACAAGGGGACCGACGGCTTAAGTCCTCTCCGATGGACTTGGTAATTATGGATCGAGGATCGTGCCTTACCAAAGGGCAGTATTATACGCTTCGACTTCGGGTTTCCGAACCCGGGATCTCTCGGTTACGAGATCACTGCTCTACCACTGAGCCATCACGTCTCCATGGAAACGTTGGCGTTGCTCGCTATTATTACAGTATAGATTAATTTCAATTTACCTTTAAATATTCAAAAGTTAGGCCTTTGGCTTACTGCACTTCGCGCGCATAATTATTATCTTGTATATAGCTGAGGCCGTTGGGGCTTTCACTTTAAAAATTGCAACAAAATTGAAACATATTTGTTGTATTCTTATATCGAAATGAAAGTTATACCACATGCAAACAAGTGTCTTAATTATTTTTTCCACTCTGATTGATTAATCAGGATGATTCTTGGCAACGAGATGACCGAATACATAATTGTAAATGTTATGTAGTCTTTATATTGACTAAGTAACATCTGTGCATGCCGCAATGAAAGTGCTTTAATTTTTGCGACTATTAAAGACTGAGCACCCCCCCCCCCCCCCCGCCCCCCGCCCCCGCCCCCGCCCCCCGCATACCCTTATAGTCCATATAATGGTACGAACTGGGCTCCAAAATTATAAATAAACAATGACAACTAATGTTGATTTTGATCCGTGTGTGGAAAGTTCTAGACCAAGCATGTAACAATCTTGAGCAACTCCCACCCATAATATTTGCTTTGTCATTGTATGGTACAACGTCGACTAAGTACTACGTCATAATATGATTGTATACAGTAGTGTAAATATCATGATTGTACAATACCCCCCGAAGGGGTGGGAACACTAAATGGAACAGCACACCAAGCATATAAATAGAAGAGCGCGCTTAGCTGCGTCAGTTACCATTTTCTTACCTAGCAATTGGAATCGAGGTCTCTTGCGCTTTCGCAGTGTCGAAACCAGGCTGATCTTGTGCCCGCAAACGAAGAAAGTACAATATTTAGCCATCTTTTCTACTTCAGATCTAGCTTAAAACACCATCAACAGCTCAGAAAATGGCTTCCCAAGTGCGCCAAAACTACCATGAAGAGTCGGAGGCTGGAGTCAACCGCCAGATCAATCTCGAGCTGTACGCATCCTACACGTACTTGTCTATGGTAAGCATTACATTACACAACACACACAATCTCTATGCGGACTGCGTAACTGAAAAAATGTGGCCGTTTCTAGTCAACAAAGTTGAACAAACGTCTCGAAAACAAGAAAGTTTTTGCATGATCATAAAACATTTTATGAATTTTTCGTAAAGTATGTGTATGAATGTGATATGGCAGCGTTTGCAATGTGTTCAGAGACTGATAAATATACAAAATTCATGTTTCCAAACGTGTCCATCTACAATACAAGTACAAAAAAGTAATTTTGTAATGGTCGTCATGCATGCTCCAGCTCTCGTGCATGCATGCCCTATATGCACAGTGTATAAAACCGTGCAGTGTGCAAAAGATCATTTGCATTGTATTCTTTATCAGTGCATTCTGTGTATGCGTATGGTGTGATTTCCACGAACTAGTGGGTGGGAAATCAGTAAGTGCATGCCGAAGTTCAGAGTCGCAGTTAACGACTGACTTACTTGGTTCGTCATGTGACCTGCGGAATAGGCAGGGTTGGGCTGTTTGAACAGTTGCAATTGTTGGCACCAATTGTTAACAAATTGCTTTTCAATTCACAGGCATGGCAAATTTATATTTAGGAGTATAGAACTTGTTTATTTTCATTTATTTTCCCTTTACCATCTTCACAACCTTTGTGTCTATTGTGACAGTTTTAGCTGAGCATGTCAACTGTAACGAGGGGGGGGGGGGGGGGTTGGATGGGGGTTACACTTTACACACAAACTTTGAGGGAGGGAATGGCTTGTAAACTAAAATATTAAAATTGTACCAATTGACCGAATCTGAATATTGTAAAATTATCTTTACAATACTAGACCTATTTACCGTTTACACAAAATATGGGCCAATAACTTCCTTAAATAAAGAAGACAAAAATTCAAAATCTCACTCTGATATAAAATATAAAAAGGTCTCATCCATCTTCATTAGACTTGTGTTTGCACAAGAAATCTCCCCATGCCGATTCACGCCACTCATGTAATCATTACACATTTTTTTCAGTCGATGCAAGACCTATTTAATCTAACCCAGTTTTTTGTTACATTTTACTTCCTTCCAGGCCTTCTACTTCGACCGTGACGATGTTGCCCTCAAGAACATCCACAAGTACTTCTTGAAAGCATCGGACGAGGAGCGGGATCACGCTCAGAAGCTGATGACATTCCAGAACCAACGTGGAGGTAGCATCGTGTTCCAGGACATCAAGGCCCCTCACAAGACCCAATGGTCCTCCGCCCACGACGCCATGAAGGACGCCCTCGACCTGGAGAAGAGTGTCAACCAGTCTCTCCTTGACCTCCACAAGGTCGCAGCCAATCACGATGACGCTCAGGTAAGAAGACTTAGGCCAAATAACAAAAAAAGTGTTTCTTGTCCGGACTTTTTTTTCTAAAGGAGGAGGCAGGGCATTACTATTTACTCTTTTGCAATTTTTGCCTATTTCTTTCAAGATGGATGTGAGATTCTTGATTACAATTGCAGTTTGTCTTCTTCTTTTTTTTTTTATCAAAGCTTCACGTAATTATAATTATGTGAGTACACAACTTTCTGGTGTATGCCTTCCACCATTGCTGCCCTTAATCTTACATGTCTTCATGTGATGTGAATGTGGACCAGTGTGTTTTTAAGCATTTGTCCTGTTGGAAAAAAAAAATTAAAAACATAATACAGTGTAGATAGTGTTTGTGTAGTTACCGATAATTGTTTATTTGCCATACCAGGGCCCTCTTTCATAAAAAAAACACTTAACGTATGATGAATGCCAGAATTCTATGACAAATTTGCTCTTAGCCAATCAAATGCTACGATCTCAGTGAATCATTTGCTTAAAAGATCTAATGTAATATAGCTAGTTATACTTTAATAAGTTTTAAGAAAAATACCAAGGTATTTAGCATGAAGAACCTAAGAAATGGGTTCAAGTGACCTGGTTCATTAACAAACTTAAACTTTTATCGAATTCTATGGTTCAATTTATTCTTCTCAATCATACAAAAATCAATAAAAATTAAAAACGGTACAATATGTATAGAGTAACATGTACACTTGTGTGATTAAAGAAATTGGAAACTACCTCAAGTTTGCAAAAGCTTGAAAATTGTAGTTCCAAAAATATACAAATTGTCAAATACATTACATAAAAAGAACAAAACAAACAAAAACTATATTCAGTAAAATGAATTTGTTAACACATTCCCTAATCTTTCATAGGGACCTGTATATACATGTACAAGCACTGCTTTTCAATAGGTCCCTCACATTCTACTTGTATGAATTGAGAATCATTGAGACGTGCTCATATATAATACTACATGGATTGTATAACTTTTATTTTATACCTGTCTATATTTTTGTAAATGTGGAACAAATAAAACTTGAACTTGATAGTGAAAACTAATAATTTCTCTTTCTCTCTCCTCATCCTTCAGATGACTGACTTCCTCGAGGCCAACTATCTGACCGAGCAAGTGGAAGCCATCAAGGAACTCGGAGGTTACGTCACAAACCTCGCTCGGGTCGGCGCTGGTCTCGGAGAGTACATGTTCGACAAGGAGCATTTTGAATAGAGCTCCAACCTCTCCCTCTTCTTCCCAGGGCACCCATTATCTCTCTCTTATGCACCCTAAAACCTCCACAAAAAAAAAGGATCTATTTTAGAGAACTATTGCAGTTTTACTTTCTACTCTCACGAACCAACCCTAATGAAGTTCTTTGTGTGCATTTGTGCCATCTGTCTTGTGCATTTGTGCCATCTATCTCTTGCTCTCGGAGAAAACTCAAAATATAGCACTGCTGTAAAACTAATTATGAAGCCAATGCATTAAAATGCTTTACAAAAATTATTGAGAAATATATATACTATTGAGAGGCAGTATCATATCATATATGAATATCTACATTACTTCATTCGTTCATGATGGTAATCATAAGTCTTTGTATTAATGTAAACATTTAGAATTGTGGGCCCTGGTGACTAACACCGTAATTTGGTGCAAAAAAAAATAAAAAAATACCTAGTTGTGCATTTCGCTTGACAGCGGCTTGAGATGTATTGAAGATCATTACATCCTACCTCACATGGTAATAAAAAAATCAGCAAAAAGATAAAATATGATGTCTTTGAATTATGTCATTTTTAAAACTTTGTTGACAAATGATTGTGATGATTGAAGTGAGAGGAAGATAGTTGAGATGATTTGAGGGAGAGAAAGATAGTTGTGATGATTTGAGAGAGAGGAAGATAATTGTCATGATTAGAGACAGGAAGATAGTTGTGATGATTTGAGAGAGAGAAAGATAGTTGATATGATTTGAGAGAGAGAGGAAGATAGTTGTGATGATTTGAGAGAGAGGAAGATAGTTGTGATGATTTGAGAGAGAGAAAGATAGTTGTGATGATTTGAGAGAGAGGAAGATAATTGTCATGATTTGAATGAGAGAAAGATAGTTGTGATGATTTGAGAGAGAGGAAGATAATTGTCATGATTAGAGACAGGAAGATAGTTGTGATGATTTGAGAGAGAGAAAGATAGTTGATATGATTTGAGAGAGAGGAAGATAGTTGTGATGATTTGAGAGAGAGGAAGATAGTTGAGATGATTTGGGTGAGAGAAAGATAGTTGATATGATTTGAGAGAGAGGAAGATAGTTGTGATGATTTGAGAGAGAGGAAGATAGTTGAGATGATTTGGGTGAGAGAAAGATAGTTGATATGATTTTGAGAGAGAGGAAGATAGTTGATATGATTTGAGAGAGAGGAAGATAGTTGAGATGATTTGAGAGAGAGAAAGATAAATGTGATGATTTGAATGAGAGGAAGATAGTTGTGATGAGTTGAATGAGAGGAAGATAGTTGAGATGATTTTGAGGGAGAGGAAGATAGTTGTGATGAGTTGAATGAGAGGAAGATAGTTGTGATGATTTGAGAGAGAGGAAGATAGTTGAGATGATTTGAGTGAGAGGGAGATAGTTGTGATGATTTGAGTGAGAGGAAGATAGTTGAGATGATTTGAGAGAGAGGAAGATAGTTGTGATGATTTGAGAGAGAGAAAGATAGTTGTGATGATTTGAGAGAGAGAGGAAGATAGTTGTGATGATTTGAGTGAGAGGAAGATAGTTGTGATGATTTGAGAGAGAGAGAAAGATAGTTGTGATGATTTGAATGAGAGGAAGATAGTTGTGATGATTTGAGAGAGAGAGAAAGATAGTTGTGATGATTTGAGTGAGAGGAAGATAGTTGTGATGATTTGAGAGAGAGAGAAAGATAGTTGTGATGATTTGAATGAGAGGAAGATAGTTGTGATGAGTTGAGAGAGAGGAAGATAGTTGAGATGATTTTGAGGGAGAGGAAGATAGTTGTGATGATTTGAGAGAGAGGAAGATAGTTGATATGATTTGAGAGAGAGAAACATAGTTGTGATGATTTGAATGAGAGGAAGATAGTTCTGATGATTTGAGGGAGAGAAAGATAGTTGTGATGATTTGAGAGAGAGAGGAAGATAGTTGTCATGATTTGAGAGAGAGGAAGATAGTTGTGATGGTTATTTTGAGAGAGAGGAAAATAGTTGCGATGATTTGAAAGAGAGGAAGATAGTTGAGATGATTTGAGAGAGAGGAAGATAGTTGAGATGATTTGAGAGAGAGAGAAAGATAGTTGCGATGATTTGAGAGAGAGGAAAATAGTTGTGATGATTTGAGAGAGAGAGAGGGAGATAGTTGTGATGATTTGAGAGAGTGAGGAAGATAGTTGTGATGATTTGAATGAGAGGAAGATAGTTGTGATGATTAAAATATTGAGAGAGAGGAAGATAGTTGTGATGATTTGAGTGAGAGGAAGTTAGTTAAGATTATTTGAGAGAGAGAAAGATAGTTGTGATGATTTAAGAGAGAGAAAGATGATTTGGGTGAGAGGAAGATAGTTGTGATGATTTGAGAGAGAGGAAGATAGTTGGGATGATTTAGGTGAGAGGAAGATAGTTGTGATGTTTTGAGAGAGAAAGATAGTTGTGATGATTTGAGAGAGAGGAAGATAGTTGTGATGATTTGAGAGAGAGGAAGATAGTTGTGATGATTTGAGAGAGAGGATGATAGTTGAGATGATTTGAGTGAGAGGAAGATAGTTGTGATGATTCGAGAGAGAGGATGATAGTTGAGATGATTTGAGAGAGAAAGATAGTTGTGATGATTTGAGAGAGAGGAAGATAGTTGTGATGATTTTAGAGAGAGGAAGATAGTTGGGATGATTCGAGAAAGAGGAAGATAGTTGTGATGATTTGAGAGAGAGGAAGATAGTTGTGATGATTTGAGTGAGAGGAAGATAGTTGTGATGTTTTGATAGAGAAAGATAGTTGTGATGATTTGGGTTAGAGTAAAATATTTGTGATGATTTGAGTGAGATGAAGGTAGTTAATATGATTTGGGTGAGAGGGAGATAGTTGTGATGATTTGAGTGAGAGGAAGATAGTTGTGATGATTTGAGAGAGAGGATGATAGTTGAGATGATTTGAGTGAGAGGAAGATAGTTGTGATGATTCGAGAGAGAGGATGATAGTTGAGATGATTTGAGAGAGAAAGATAGTTGTGATGATTTGAGAGAGAGGAAGATAGTTGTGATGATTTTAGAGAGAGGAAGATAGTTGTGATGATTCGAGAAAGAGGAAGATAGTTGTGATGATTTGAGAGAGAGGAAGATAGTTGTGATGATTTGAGTGAGAGGAAGATAGTTGTGATGTTTTGATAGAGAAAGATAGTTGTGATGATTTGGGTTAGAGTAAAATATTTGTGATGATTTGAGTGAGATGAAGGTAGTTAATATGATTTGGGTGAGAGGGAGATAGTTGTGATGATTTGAGAGAGAGGAAGATAGTTGTGATGATTTGAGAGAGAGGAAGATAGTCGTGATGATTTGAGAGAGAGAGAGGGAGATAGTTGTGATGATTTGAGAGAGAGGAAGATAGTCGTGATGATTTGAGAGAGAGGGAGATAGTTGCGATGATTTGAAAGAGAGGAAGATAGTTGTGATGATTTGAGAGAGAGAGGAAGATAGTTGTGATGATTTGAGAGAGAGGAAGATAGTCGTGATGATTTGAGAGAGAGAGAGGGAGATAGTTGTGATGATTTGAGAGAGAGGAAGATAGTTGTGATGATTTGAGAGAGAGGAAGATAGTCGTGATGATTTGAGAGAGAGAGAGGGAGATAGTTGTGATGATTTGAGAGAGAGGAAGATAGTTGTGATGATTTGAGAGAGAGGAAGATAGTTGTGATGATTTGAGAGAGAGAGAGGGAGATAGTTGTGATGATTTGAGGGAGAGAAAGATAGTTGTGATGATTTGAGAGAGAGAGAGGGAGATAGTTGTGATGATTTGAGGGAGAGAAAGATAGTTGTGATGATTTGAGAGAGAGAGGAAGATAGTTGTCATGATTTGAGAGAGAGGAAGATAGTTGTGATGGTTATTTTGAGAGAGAGGAAAATAGTTGCGATGATTTGAAAGAGAGGAAGATAGTTGAGATGATTTGAGAGAGAGGAAGATAGTTGAGATGATTTGAGAGAGAGAGAAAGATAGTTGCGATGATTTGAGAGAGAGGAAAATAGTTGTGATGATTTGAGAGAGAGAGAGGGAGATAGTTGTGATGATTTGAGAGAGTGAGGAAGATAGTTGTGATGATTTGAATGAGAGGAAGATAGTTGTGATGATTAAAATATTGAGAGAGAGGAAGATAGTTGTGATGATTTGAGTGAGAGGAAGTTAGTTAAGATTATTTGAGAGAGAGAAAGATAGTTGTGATGATTTAAGAGAGAGAAAGATGATTTGGGTGAGAGGAAGATAGTTGTGATGATTTGAGAGAGAGGAAGATAGTTGGGATGATTTAGGTGAGAGGAAGATAATTGTGATGTTTTGAGAGAGAAAGATAGTTGTGATGATTTGAGAGAGAGGAAGATAGTTGAGATGATTTGGGTGAGAGAAAGATAGTTGATATGATTTTGAGAGAGAGGAAGATAGTTGATATGATTTGAGAGAGAGGAAGATAGTTGAGATGATTTGAGAGAGAGAAAGATAAATGTGATGATTTGAATGAGAGGAAGATAGTTGTGATGAGTTGAATGAGAGGAAGATAGTTGAGATGATTTTGAGGGAGAGGAAGATAGTTGTGATGAGTTGAATGAGAGGAAGATAGTTGTGATGATTTGAGAGAGAGGAAGATAGTTGAGATGATTTGAGTGAGAGGGAGATAGTTGTGATGATTTGAGTGAGAGGAAGATAGTTGAGATGATTTGAGAGAGAGGAAGATAGTTGTGATGATTTGAGAGAGAGAAAGATAGTTGTGATGATTTGAGAGAGAGAGGAAGATAGTTGTGATGATTTGAGTGAGAGGAAGATAGTTGTGATGATTTGAGAGAGAGAGAAAGATAGTTGTGATGATTTGAATGAGAGGAAGATAGTTGTGATGATTTGAGAGAGAGAGAAAGATAGTTGTGATGATTTGAGTGAGAGGAAGATAGTTGTGATGATTTGAGAGAGAGAGAAAGATAGTTGTGATGATTTGAATGAGAGGAAGATAGTTGTGATGAGTTGAGAGAGAGGAAGATAGTTGAGATGATTTTGAGGGAGAGGAAGATAGTTGTGATGATTTGAGAGAGAGGAAGATAGTTGATATGATTTGAGAGAGAGAAACATAGTTGTGATGATTTGAATGAGAGGAAGATAGTTCTGATGATTTGAGGGAGAGAAAGATAGTTGTGATGATTTGAGAGAGAGAGGAAGATAGTTGTCATGATTTGAGAGAGAGGAAGATAGTTGTGATGGTTATTTTGAGAGAGAGGAAAATAGTTGCGATGATTTGAAAGAGAGGAAGATAGTTGAGATGATTTGAGAGAGAGGAAGATAGTTGAGATGATTTGAGAGAGAGAGAAAGATAGTTGCGATGATTTGAGAGAGAGGAAAATAGTTGTGATGATTTGAGAGAGAGAGAGGGAGATAGTTGTGATGATTTGAGAGAGTGAGGAAGATAGTTGTGATGATTTGAATGAGAGGAAGATAGTTGTGATGATTAAAATATTGAGAGAGAGGAAGATAGTTGTGATGATTTGAGTGAGAGGAAGTTAGTTAAG